ATATCATACCCGGTCCGGAACCCGTTATCGAACGCTTCCATGGCTTCCATAAAACGATTTGAACGCGTTTCGCCCTAACCGCTTGTGCCCCTTTCGAAAATTCGAATACAGAATCCGGACGTTGGAATTGATGTTGTTGCATTTTAGGGTTTAGTGGCACCAACTTTTGGGTCATCTTGCATTGAAAGGCGTGTTTTCTTGGGTGGGTATGACATAAATAAAATACAACACGGTGTATTCCGCATCACCCTCGGTCCCGGCCCTCCCGCGAGTCGGATCGCCCTCCGGCCTGCGGGCGATCCGACCCGCGGTCGGGCCGATACCTCGGGCGATACGGAATACCCCATGTTGTATTCTATATTTATAGCCAGATGACACCGACCAATCAGAAGGCTCCATTTCCCATCGGTTATCAGGCCGTAACCTCAAAACTTTTTGGACTATACCATTATACAGGGGACATTTCTCTACCACACCATTAATCTATGGAACACTCTGCCACCCAGTATCAAAACACTGATCAGTCCACATCAATTCAAAAAGGCCATCCACCAGTTGTACATACAATGTAAGTTAAGTTGTATAATATGTTATGTTGTTTAACCTGTATACAATTTGTGATGCTTATGTATACGTTCATTCTCTTTTAATTTTGCTGTCAGTATGTTCGCAATATGTTTTGAACCCTGGAAGATTGGTCATGGACTAAAGGGTATCGAAATAAACGAAATAAATGAAACAGGACACTAACAGTAGTGTTAAGACTTGAAGTATTTATCTATTAAAAACATCAGTTTTCAGGTAGGTAAACTCCTTTACAGGCTTAGTCTAGCTCCCCTGGTATAGTATCTGTTTATTTGCCCGGCCAATGAATAAATGCTCACTTGGTGGTTTATTCGGTGGTTTATCGCACCTGACCAGGGAATATCTCACCATAATACACCTCAGGGCGGGGCATTAACCCTGTATTATAAACCTCATCAGGTTAGTGAATGATCGAATGTCTAAAATATGTCTGAGTGTATGTAACAGGAAGATTTTTCCCTCTCACCTTCCTGGACTCAGGTCTGAGCCCTATCTGGCTGGAGCTGGCAATGCTGAAGTTCCTGTGCTTGGTCCTGACTGGTGCGGAGTGTGCTCGTGCACTGGGGAGGGCACCATTCTTGGGTAACACATCCGGGGTGTCCGACACTTCTATCCGCTGTACGAGACAAATACAGTATGATACACAGTCAAACCTGTCAAAGACAACCACTTATTTTACAATTTTTTTAGACTGCCCCATAGACCCAAAGTAACCAAGCCGGTAATTTTGTACATTGTGCAAAGACTGTCATGCTGTCAAAATCAATGGCAAACGGGCCAATTTCATCAAGATTATCATCAATATGACAAGGTTGTTGTCATAGGCAGAGATTGGGCCATCATCTGTCAAGGAGGTCATGTAATGAAAAACCCCAGGCCCTGTAAAAAGAGTGAGCGCCACCAGATGTACAAGTGATTAATGACTTTCTCCCTCTTGGACAGACCGAACGCAAGCATATCCATTACAACCTGACCTAAGGGCCGTGCGGAAACACAGACACACACACGGACATACACAGACGTACCAAACACAATATCTCCATTTATCATGGAGGTACAGTACCGTTCGCGTTATAGTTACCCTTACGGCCGTTACTAACGCGTTTCTTTTCCGTAAGTTTTCCGTAAGTTTTCCGTTACTTTTGCGTAAGTTTTCCGTTACTTTTCCGTACTCTCCAAGCAGAGGTAGGGTCGCTCGGTATTTTGGCAGTATTTTCGCGTTTTTAATACGTCTTTCTACTTTTACGGTTTTTTTTTTGGTCTTCCTCGGGA